TTTTTGTCAATGGTTGTTCAGCAGTTAGTTGTGATTTTGGTGTTTTTGTGAGAGGAGGTGAGCTCAAGTCCTTCTCCACCATCTTGTCCGGAATTGAGAAGCTTTTAGTTTGGATGCTTTCTGACTCTTTTCTTAGTGTGTGCTGGCCATTATTCCTTTCAAATGGTGTGTGGGTGCGTGGCAGCCTGTGCACACTCCTGGTATGGCAGGAGCAGCAATTGGCGCCTACTCGTGGGTCTCCCAGCAGCGGCAGTGGCCCATGTGCCCCCAGGCCAGTAGGGGCAGAGATTGTTGTCTGCTCCTGTGTCTCTTAGCAGCAGTGATGGCCCACGCACTCCCGGGACAGCAGGGACCATGATTGGTGCCTGCTCGCTGCCTGTGTGTACTCTCTGGATGGTGGGGGTGGGACTGGCGCCTGCTCCCGGATCTCTTAGTAGCAGCGGTGGCCCGCACCCTCCCAGGACAGCAGGGACAGTGACTGGAGCTTGCTCCTGGCCTGTGCGTGCTCCCCGGACATTGGGTGCAGTGATTGGTACCTGCTCGTGGGTCTCTTAATGGTGGCAGTGGCCCACACACTCCCGAGATAGCAGGGACAGTGCTTGGTGGCTGCTCGCGGGTCTCGTATTTGCGGTGGTGGCCTGCGCACCCCTGCGACAGTGGGGACAGCACTTGGCGCCTGCTCACGGTTCTCTTATTGATGGTGGCTGCCCATGCCTGCCTCTGGAGCCATGATGGCAGTGGTGGCTCGTGCCCGCCCCTGGAGCTCACGTAGGTGGTGTCCTGTTGCCTGAGAACGTGCGCACAGGGAAAGAAGCCCCTATGGTGGTCCCACCCCTCTCCTTGCATGGCCCCCAACAATAGTATCTTGCCTCCATAGCGGTCCCAGGCTTCTTCTGAATGCACCCTAAGTTGCCACACTCCACCCTCTTCAGGCTGTCTCTGCATAGCCAACCCTGGTCCTCTCCCTGGGTCTGACCTCCGAAGCCCAGGCTTCAGCACCCAGCCCCTGCCCATGCGGGCGGACGAGGGTCTCAGGCTGGGGAGCACAGGGCGGCAGTACTGACCACCTGTGCAGGTCACTGTCCGTTTTGCCTTCCACAGACTGGTTGCTGCACTCTCCTCCGAGGCTCTGAGGCTCCCCCTCTGTCCAGGCTGATCTCCCCACGGGTGAGGGAACCTCCCAGGGTGTGGGAACCTTTCCTCCTTCACAGCTCCCTCCCTGGGGCGCAGGTCCTGTCCTGATCCCTTTCTGTCTTTCTTTTTCTTTTGTCTTATCTGGTTATGTGGAGGCTTTCTTGCCCTTTCAGAAGTCTGAGGCCAGTGTTTAGATTTTCTGTGCAAATTGTTCCACTTGTAGATGTTTTTTTTTTTTTTTTTTTTTTTTTTTTTGGCGGTACGCGGGCCTCTCACTGCTGTGGCCTCTCCCGTTGTGGAGCACAGGCTCCGGACGCACAGGCTCAGCGGCCACGGCTCACGGGCCCAGCCGCTCCGCGGCACGTGGGGGGGATCTTCCCGGACCGGGGCACGAACCCGTGTCCCCTGCATTGGCAGGCGGACTCTCAACCACTGCGCCACCAGGGAAGCCCTGTAGATGTATTTTTGATGTATCTGTGGGAAGAGGTGAGCTCCATGTCCTGTTCCTCTGCCATCCTGATTCCTCAGCCCTTGCTAAATTAATTTAGGTAATGGGAATCCACTGACTATCCAGGTCACTTCAAATAAGATAAAATACTCAAACATTATTTGCTAAACAGGTCTAAATTTACCTACTTCTGTCTCCTTACAAGAAGGAAACTAAAGATGTTTGGGTTTACTAGACACAACTCTTGTACCACATTGAGGAAAGAAATTATGCTATGAGAAGATGTATGTTTCTAGAGGTTAAGTGATATGCCAGTCAGGAATGCTGGTATGACAAACAGTTCACAGTTACTTGCTACTTGTCAGTTTTCACTAGAGATTAACGTTTTTAAGGGTTAAAATTATAATATGTAATTAAAGCTACTAAAGATAATAAGGGAAACATTTCAGTATGCAAGGAAAGTAGGGTGTGTTTTTTTCAGCAAAAGAAGGTATGAAGAATGGAAGTGAATTTTGTTAAGTGGAAAGAATGATCTTGTCGTAGAACTGGTCGTTTCTGGATGGGAAAATAAGGGACAGACTAACAGGAACAGAGAAAGTTGTGGAAGGTTCGTAAAAAGGGAGCCCTGAAAAGGAGTTTTGTACATGGGCAGGCTGGGATTGGATTAAATTTAATTAGGTAAGTGGATATTACTATTAAAAGTAGGCTGGTGCAAGACTGGATTTGGTTCCTCTGTTAAGAGAACAAAGTTATCTTGAAATACTGCTTTTGAAAACAGATTATGTGAGATTCTTTTTCTGTAAGTCATCTTTATTTGTTTTTGAAAATTTTTTTTTTTTTTTTGGTACGTGGGCCTTTCACTGTCGTGGCCTCTGCCGTTGCGGAGCACAGGCTCTGGACGCGCAGGCTCAGCGGCTATGGCTCACGGGCCTAGCCACTCTGCAGCATGTGGGATCTTCCCGGAATTTTTTTTTTTTTTTTGGTACGTGGGCCTTTCACTGTCGTGGCCTCTGCCGTAGCGGAGCACAGGCTCTGGACGCGCAGGCTCAGCGGCTATGGCTCACGGGCCTAGCCACTCTGCAGCATGTGGGATCTTCCCGGACCGGGGCACGAACCCATGTCCCCTGCATCGGCAGGCAGACTCTCAATCACTGCGCCGCCAGGGAAGCCCGAAATCTTTTGTCACTTTAAGTGAATAAGTATTGTTTCACGGTGACCTATGATCCTATTTGACCAAGTGTTTTGAAACCTTTTTGATATTTTTGACAAAACTTCCCAAATAACAAATTCTAACTGAAGTTCTTTTGACTTCCAGCTAACCCTGGGATGCTTCAAAGAAACCCTGCAACATCTCAGAGAGAAATGTTAAACTAATCAGGCTAATTTCGTATGTTAAATTACTTGAGAAGCACTGTCAGGTGATTGGAGATAAACCTTCTTAGGTTATAATGGTATGGGTAAATGTCATTAATACAGATATTCCAAAATTTATACGGAATTCCTAAAAATCTGGTATGTCCTGGTGGTATAAGGTTATCAGTCATAATTCTAGGTGTTATCTTACTTAGGATGTTGTATGTCACAGAAATATCCAAGTTTCTTGTCAGTTACATTATAATCAATCAGATCTTTAACCATGCCATTTTAAGTCTTGCTGTTTATACACAATCATTGTTTTACTCTGATGCTTTTATATATGAAGATCTTAGTGAAGATTCATAAAAAGCACTTTTGATAAATACAGGTTTTTGATAACTTTTAGATCTTACTCCTGAACTGGGTAAGAAATTTAAAAAGACTAATGGAAAACCCGACAACTTCATCTAGATGAACAGGAATTAATTACATGGACTGAATGAATTGATGAACATGACTTATAATTTTATGACTTTTTTCTGAAATATACTGGTTTTTAATCTCTGTTTTCCAGAAAACCTTTCCTCTTACGCTAACTATGACCTTCAACAAGTTGATAAAGTATACCTTTGTAAACGAAGATGAAACATTTATCTTTTTCTCTCTACCTGATCCCTCCAGAATTTGGCTTCTCCAGTTGGCTCCCCTGTGGACTTGATGGCTTATTTTGACCAGATTACAACTAGTTATACTAATCACTGTTTTAGTTTGTTCTCTTTTGGCATTTTCAAATTATTTATGCCTTGTGCCTCTCTCTGCTGCACTATCAGTTTATTAATGTTACTAGCTGTATTACTTATATCCTGTTTTATGAGATTGTTTTCTCTTACATTACCAAAGTGTAACCAAGCCTCCAGCAAAATTAGTGACGTCTCGAGTTAGTTGATCATGTACATAACTCTACATAGAATAACTGTAATAGTGCAATTCTGGATCTGGGAAGAAGCAACAAGGGAAAACATTTCCTGGATCACAACAGACCAATAAGACGGGTGATCCAGAGAATTTTAGATTATCAACAGGGTCTAATCCAAAACAAATCAGCACATTGAGTGGCCTATCAACAGAATCTTCGCGTGATCAAGGGATGAGCCTTCCTAACCCTGAGGGACAAAGTTGGTCATGAAATGCCTCCCAAATATATTGGTTGAATTTATGGCCAACAGGAAGCACTGTGAGCAAAGACTGTCACCTGCCGTATCAGTAAACAAGCCATGAAGCCATCAACCTCTGCAGCCACCACCAATGGTGTAGCCTGAGGGGATTCAGAATGGAGAAAAACAGGATACTGGCCCTAGATAGTTAAGGTGCATATTAAAGGAATGATTTCAATGAGCCAAGGGCTTGCATCTTCCTATACATAGAAAAGCACTAAATTCATTAACTGTAGATGTCTGTTTTTTCATTAATTAGCAGCAATCTTGTGATGTTCGACTTCCTGGTTTCATTTTTGCAAAAACTCCTACATATTCCCGGCTCCTCCCTTACCTCTTTGGAACACTCTCTCAGAGCTATCTGAGAGGCTGTCTCCTGGGCTTAGGTCCTCAGTATGTCTGCAGAATAAAACATAGTTCTCAACTTCTGGGTCGTGCGGTTTGTTTGTTTTCAGTCGACAGTTTCTATGGTAGTTCTATGTGGTAACTTTTTGAGGGACCACAAACTCTTTCTCAGCAGCTGCACTACCTTCCATCCCCAGCAGTGATGCACAAGTCACTGGCATCCACTGACCACAATGTGAGAAGAACCTGCTTGAGCATGAGGCCAGTGCAAAGGCAATCCAGCGTGTAAGAGCAGAGAGAATCTCCCTATTGCAATTTGTTTAGCAGCTGGGTCAAGTTGTACCTGCAGCTAATCCTACCAGTTGACTTCTCAGTTTTGCCAAGTTTTGCATTCCTCTTTTCTATCATGAGTGGGTTTGAATTTGGTTTCTGTCCCTCACAAATGAACAAGTCCTCAGTAACGTACCATCTAAGCATCTCATTCAGTGGTGTGGCCTGCTTACCTTGTGCATGCTGCGGCCAGAATCGTCCTCCTCTCCTCCAGATGAGAACCTTCTGGCTCGGGGCACTGCCAAAAGACAGCCAGGATCAGCTCCCGCCCACGCTCCCCACTCAGCCTGCTCAGGCGAGAGGGCATAGTGGGGGCAGTACAGCCTTGACAGGTGGGGGTTTCCTCTTGGTTCCACCACTTTCTAGCTGAGTGACCCCGCACAAGTGCACTTCGGTGAACTGCCTCCACCATGGGTCTCCCTATACTGAGATGGCCAGCATCCCTTCCCATGCTTGGGCTGGAAAGTGCAGGTGAAGCTGACTGCCCAGACAGATCTAATAAACCTCAGCGTTGGGACTTTTCCTGTCGCTGGTAGGAGAAAAAGCCCTCTTTCTGCCAAGGATGGGAGGTAACCTGGACCTGCCAGAACTCGCCTTCCCATGATAAGGGCAGAATCAGCCTGAGACTGGAGCCACCCAACCCACAGGACAGGTCAAGTCCTGACGATGACCGTCTACATCTAGATCCAGCTATGCCTCAAAAACTTTCGGTCACATGACCCAGAAAATCCCTGTTTTGGCTTAAGGCTTTTGGAGGTGGTCTTTCCTTTTTTTTTCTTTTTTCTTTTCTTGTGTGTGTGTGTGTGTGATTGAAATACTCTCATCTAAGATTCCCCCTCTCCCCGCTCATGCCTGTTCGGTCTGGTCTCTCTTGCCTGTGCAGCCTCTGAACACTATCTCCCATGGGCACTGATGACTGTCCACTTTGGGTTGTAGTTGTGCTTGTGTCTTATCCCTTTTCTAAGTGGAGAATTCTTTGAGGGTGGCACAGGGTCATCTCTGAGCTCCCATGAAGCTTTGTTCAAAATGGACATTCATTACTAAAGTATTGTATGTATTGAATCAAAGTATGTATTGAGTCAAAGTGGCACGTACTGACAACTCCTCCACATACTTAAAAGAAACAGCCTGGGATGTCTGATTAGGTGGGATGGCACCTTGAGGACCATTAGGACCCCTTGCCAGGGTGCCTGTGGGAGACTTCCATCTCCCAACATCCTCTCTCTTCCGTCCTCCAGACCATTTTCCACCTACAGCCAAAGTGGTCTCTTAAAAACACAAATCTGATCATGTCACCACTTTTAACAACTTCCTCCTATTTTGGATAAAGACCAAAATCCTGACCTCAACCCACAAGGTCCTGTGGGATCTGGCCTCTCATCCCCCACCCCCTCCCCTCCCTCTCTGAGCTCAAGGTTGAGCTGACAGCCATTCCTTTGCTCCAGTGGAGCCTACCCTCCCATCTTGGGTCTTTGCATGTGCATTTCAACACTCTGCTGGCTTACCTGCTCCTCACCCTTCCTGTGGTAGCTGAGGCTCTGCATCTGAGCAGCTTTTGTCATCTTCCAGACCGGACAGCATGCCCCTACCATCAGCCCTTCTACCTCCTGTATTTCACCTGCTGTACATCACCTCCCTCTTCAGCTGGGGCCGATGTCTCATACACAAACCAGACCTGATCTGGTTTGCTTCCTAGTATCTCCCTAGGACCCATGGCTGCCCTGAGTACCTGTTTGCTGAATGAATAAATGAACTATCGCGTGAAGGGGTGGGCAACTGTCTGTGCTGGCCCTGTGTCCCTGGCGTAGGTGACGGGGCTGTGGTCCTGGCTCCCCTGTGAGGGGTGATACCTTTGGGGGACCCGTGGTAGGTCCAGTACTCAGACTCGGCAGCATAGTAGGGGTCTGGCGAGTAGGCTGGACTGTACTTGGAGGCCTGACTGATGTCTTCACTTGTTTTGCTCTTGGTTGCTGTCGACAAATCACCTGCAAAGGACCCAAAGAGAGCGCTTCAGGGAGGCAGAATGTCCTAGAAGAGTGTCCTGGACATACTCTCCCTTGTCTCAGCCAGGCTCCAGCCCTGGGGAGTGAGGCCACGTTCAGGCCAGGGTCTGGGACACGGAGCATCGGAGCTGGAAAAGCACTGAGGCCAAGCCTCTTCATTTTACGGTTGGGAATCTGAACACCTGAGAGGGGAAGGGTCTTGCTCAGACCACACAGCAAGTCAGACCAGAACTGGATCAGACCCCAGCTCAGGGCTCCTCCTACCAATTCCACAGACTCTCCTAAGTGAACACTAAGGCCGTGGCTCCTTTAAGTAAGATTAGACAGGTCCCAGGTGAGTCCTTGCCCTTACTACGTTCCTCACCCTCTAGAAGCCAGCCTTGTTGTGGATTCGAGCCACATCTTGGGTGGGATCGCCAAGCAGGGCCTGCTGCATGTTGAGTCAGGTCACCTTTCTCCTCATACTGAAATGACAAATCCTGCTTTGGGGGAGACTAGATGGCCTGAGGGAAGGAGCACTGGCCAGGGAGTCAGCAACGCTGGGTTCTGGTTCCAGTTCTGCCACTTAACTCAGCTGTAGCACTGGGCAAATCGTGCCCCTCTCCACCTCAGTTTCCTTGTCTTTATCAGAACTGGTCTGCTGGCTGAGGTGTCGTCCAGCTCTAAGCTTCCCCCTGAAGTCCACAACATGGGGGTGACCATCAAACCCACTGTAGGCACAAAACCTTCCAGGGCAATGACTATCATGCCCAAGACTGGTGAGAAGCTGACCAGGGCAGAGAGAGGGCTGGGGAAAGGAGATGGGGCCCCTGATCATTTCTCAGGAAGGAGAAGCTATAGGGACAAGCCCTAGGCTCCGTGGAGCCAGAGCAGCAGAGGGTCCTGGGATGGCTCTCAGCCAGCCAGCAGCACTTGCCCCCAAAGCTTGCAAATCCTCTTTGATGTGGGTCCTGTGCAGCCCCTCCCACTCCAGCCATTCTCATTCAGCCCTTTCATCCACCCTCTTATCTGCACAGTCCACCTCCAGCCCAGACTCCTCCTGAGCCTGCTTTGGTGCTGCCCCTCAGGCCCACCTACAAAATCCCACACAGTCCTGAGGGGCTTGGGACCTGGGGGCCTTTTCTGGATGTAAAGTTAAACTACCTTTGTCAGGGTTGGTGCCTTTCTGTGACCACTGGGGGTACATGGAGTGTCCTCCACAGCCACAGGTAGATGTGCACTGCTCAGGACTCACCTGGACTCCAGCCCAGTCCGCTCTGAAGTTGAGGATGTTTGTCTAAATTGTCAGATCGTAAGCAGCCAGAGCCACTGTTTATGCTTGTACCACCTCCTCCATCAGCCCAGTGAGTTTAGATCCCAGTACAGGGCTGCTTCTGCCTGTCTCCATGCTCGTCCAATTCTGTGTTCCCCCTGTGACCCCATAGGCACCCACAGGTACCTAAGGGTGGTACAGGGTGGCAGCTGTGCCTCTGCATCTTCAGAGGAAGGGGTGTGCTCATTCAACTGAGTGCTTTTGAAAGAACGAACAAGTCTCAGTGGTGGCTCCCACAGGGAGCACAGGTAGGAATTGTGAATGGAACTGGTTACAGGGCAGATTCATAGGGCAAACTCTTAGTATTTCTAATTAAGGAAGTCTAGGGCAGGGGAGGGGGCCAAGGTATCTGTTTTTTAAATAAATCTCTTGGGTGCAGTTGGCCCTCAGACACTTCTGTAAGAAACACTATATGGATGAATGAATGAAGGCACCCTCAGCTCCTTTCTCATCCGTATCCCCTTCTCCAGGCCTCCATCTACTCTCAGGACACGGTGACTGAGAACAGTTTAGAGCAGTGGTTCCCAAGCTGGGCTGGACATTAGAATCACCTGGAGAAACTGTAACAAATACAAAATTTGGATTCATGAAGTCTGGGGTGGGCCCAGGAATCTGTATGCATTCCACATGATTCTAATGAACGTCCAAGTCTGAGTACCAGCGCCTTGGAGTGTCACTCTCCCAGGGCTACATGCATTTGACAACGGTTTCTCTGACCATGGGCTTTAGGATAGCAGATAGCAGGGCAAGGTGGGTAGTGAGGAGATGGTGGGAAAGGATGTAGGGGATACAAGGCCTTCCTTGCCGTTTTGAAATGACACCAACCCCCTCCCCAAGGCCACCTTGAGTGACTGGGGGGCAGCCGACAAGAAGGACTGAGTTGCAGCCTTGTATGTGTCCCTCTGGTGGCCCTACAGAGCCATCTGCACAGATGATTAACTGCCCCTCCCCGTGCCTGGCCAAGCCCTCTCTGCCCCGGACCATACCATGCCGTTTGTAGATCGGGGGTTTCCGGTAGATGTTACTTTCTCCAGCTGCCAGTCAGACCGGGAAGGGACAGTGGGGAGGAGAGAGAGAAAGACAGGAGAAAAGGAGACGGCCAGTTGGTCAGGGGGTCCCAGAAGACAGAGGTGGTTAGCAACTTCTCCCAAGGCTCCCCCATCTTTCCCCCAGTGGGCTTCCTCTTCTAAAGGTGAGCTTCCAACCTCATCCCATCAGGTTCCAAGAAAGGTGAGGGGAAAGGAATGGATGGATTCAAATGGGGCTGAGGCAGGGGCTTGGGGCTTGGATGGTGGGCATAAAGGCATAAGGCAGGCGCGTGCTCAGCAAGACCCCATGCGGGAAGGTGCCCACCCAGCAGCCATGCCTCATTCCACATGGGCGTCCCCAGAACCCCGCAGCCACAGTTAGCACTCTCACCCCCTCCTCCCCAGTAGGCTGGATGGGACCTTTCTGGGGCAACCTCATGCTCACCACCTCCAGCCATGCTGGCCAGCTGCAGGCTCAGTGTTTCAGGGCCTTTGGACTTGCTGTTCCCTCTGCCCAGGATGTTTTTCCCTGGGGTCTCTTTTGGTTTCATTGTCACCTCCTCCAAGAAGCCCTCCCTGACCACCTCACATACCCCGGCCTCCCCCACGTCGTCACTCTATCGCAGTGCCCTGTTTTACTATGTTTAGCACCTATATCTCCTGAAATCATCCTTTTACTTATTTGTTTACTCGTTTATTAGCTCTCTCCCACATTAGAACTTAAACACCCTGAAGGATCTGGGCTGGTTTGAGCACAGTTGCACTTCCAGGACCCAGAACAGTGCCTGGCTGTCCAGAAGGAACACCACAGGCTCAAGGAAGCTAAGTAGCTGGTCTGAGGTCACAAGCTTATAAGCAGCAGAATCAAGGATTCAATCCCAAAAGCCCATGACCTTCAGCACAGTTACTGCCATGTCCCATCACAGCCCTTGGACATTCGAGGCACTTCCCTGGGCTGCTTCCTGGTGGTCCTAATCAAGGCTGGTTCTGTCTAGGGAGTGGGCTAAGGCCAGTGGGTGTGTCGGAGCTGGAGGCCAGTTAGTGCGGGTGACTGGTTAGGGAGGGTCCCCAGCACCCAGTTTCTCCTCGGTGCCGGTGCAGGGCGCCCAGCGACCCCACAGAGCATGCACCCATGCCAGGAATTCCGGGCTGGCAGCCTACCTGGGATGTGAAAGTGCTTGGGAGCCTGGTAAGAGGTCGGAGTGGAGGACCTCACATCTAACTGGCTATGGTATGGAGAGCTCCGGCCACTCTCGGGCCCTGGAGCACGCAGGCAGTGGTCCCCAGAGAGAGCAGAGGCACAGAGAAAACAGGCATTAATGCAGTGGCGGTGGTTACGGCAGCAGTGAGGTGATGACAGCAGGGATGGGGGCTGTGCTCTCATGCACCGGGTCTGCAGAAACAGGCTTGACCCTGTTGTCTTGCTTCACCCCAAAGTCAGATTTTGTGGGTTGTAAGAGTCAACAGCACTGAGGCTTCTCTTAGCTCCCCACCTGGGCCCCTCCCTTAATTGCTCTGCCTGCTTCATCCCTAACCTCAGGGTGGCCCTCAGGTGAAGCCCAGGACACTTTCCCCATTTCTGATCCTCTGGCTCTGCCTTCTGGATGGGACAGGACAGAGGATGAGGATGGAGACGTTTTCTTCCAGCCAGGACGGCTGGGCTTCCTGCCACTCCCCTCCCCGCAGCAGCACGCCACCCACCTTCCCGCTGCATCTTCTTCCCCTGCCAGTGGCATCTGCAGGGACTCAGTGACGCCTGGGTGGCCACGATCCCCCAGAGGACCATGTTGTAAGGGAGATAACCCAGGGAAGCCCCATGCTGTCTAGGCACTGTGTTGTCACCCGCTGGCTCTTCCTGTCCCTTTGGGAGCTTCCCCCTTCCTTACCAGAGCGGTAATAGTGATGAGAGCGGGAGAAGGTGGGGGACATGCCCTGCCGGCTGTAGGTGGGGGAGTCGATGTATCCCGGGCTGGAGGCCCGTCTCTGCCGGAGGTCCAGGTTCTCATAGATGTCCTGGGGGAGGAAGCAGGGCCATAATAAGCAAGATCTGCAATTAGGGGGGCCTATAGCCCCAAGGTCCAGCAGTCAGGTGGGGAAGTGACATGGAATCTGGGATCGCAGGGGCTGAAGCATGGTTTTGCCCTTCTGAATACAGAGACCCCCTCCCTGGGTTACATGCACAGCCCGAGGAAGGCTGCAGAGACTTTCCAGGGCCTTCACCCATCACTCATGTGCCCTTGAATGGAACCCGTGGGTCAGGACCCTGGAATCCTGGCCAAGGATCACAGAAGCATCAGGGAGGCCATCTCTGGGTAGAAAGGTTCGCTCCCAGCCATCTCTACCCTTTAAGCCACTGCCACTTCCTCCAGGTCATGCTCCTAAGTCTCCCTGTCTCTGCTTGCATTGGGGGAACACCTTCAGGGGCTTCAGTGGGTCGCGGGGGGGAGGGGATTGGGGGTCTGCTTGGTCAGCATAAAGGACACAACTATAGAAAAGGTGTCCTGGAACCAGTTTAATTACCTGGGAGTAGGGAGATAAGGTCCCCAGCGACTTGGAAGCGAAGTTTGAAGGCAGCCATGGAAGGAGTGCAAGGAGAGAGGAGGGCAAGAGGGAGGGACAGAGAGTGGTTACAGGGAGCAGAGAGAAGCCTGCAGCCGCCCCTTGTCCCCCACCCCAGAGAACGGCCTCAGCTCCCCAGAATATCAGCAGTGCTCACGGGTGGGAGGAAACCTTGAGACTATGCTCTTTTTACAAAGGGAAAAAACCACAGCCCAGAGAGGAGATGAGATGGCTCGGGGCCCCTCAGGGAAGAAGCGGTAGGGTCTTCACCTGGGCCCAGGCTTCCCCACCGCAAGCTCAGAGCCAGTTCATGGCCCTTCCCTGTGCCTCTACCAGTTCACGCCCTTCTGTGGCTCATAAGGACAGGACCCAGGGCAAGGCTCCCAAATGCAGGGCCAAGCAAGGGCCAGGCTGATGCCATCAATGCAGGAGTTGGGCCGGTTGGGGGGTGGGGGGCAAGCTGGGGATGGAAGGCACCGCCTGCAGAGGGGATGGCGCTCAGCTCCAGGGCACCCAGGCCTGGCTGGACCGTCCATCCCATGCTAACACAGCTTCTTAAGTTTCCAAGACAAGGCAGAAGCGCAGACTCTTATGTGAAATCTCCTAATGTTTAAATGTTGACAACTAGTTTACATTTTAAAAAGACACTCTGTGAGTGAAACAAAACAAATCTGGGGGCTGGCTGTGGCCTATGGGCCCCAGTTTGCCATCTCTGGCTTCAGGAGAATCAGCTTCTACCAAACGCTTGGTCCCCTTTTCCTGGTCCATTTCAGAGGCCAGAACTTAAGAGAATCTCAATCTCAGCATTGGGCTCTTAAACCAAATGGAACCCCATTCTCCTTAGAAAGGAAGTACAGATGAGGCCAGGGCTCCTTCTGAAGCTCCAGATGATCTCAGCTCAGGGGCCTGGGGTGGGGTGAGAAAACCTCCTGGGATGTAAACTGTCAGGACCTCCAGGGTAACAGCCACCCTGCCTTCTCCAGGAAACACTTTCTCTTGTCCAGCAACCATTTAATTATTTCAAAAGCCTTCTGATGTGTACTTTTTATAAGAGTGTCTCTTGCTCTGAGCACAGGGGCTTAAGGCCAGGGGCAGCACCCAGAGAACCTACCTAACTGGGGATTATAAACCTAAGTGGCCACTGAGCACAGCTGGGGATGAGAGCCGTAGGCTATGTATAAAATCTCTCCACTGTAAGAGAAACAACAGCTCAGGTGATAAGTGGTCACAGGTTCTTGGCTTTTATGTTGGGGTTCTCAGAGAGTAGTGGGGATCAGGGAGAACTGGGGAGCCCATGTCCTGCCTATAGAGGGAGCTGCTCCCCATCTCTAGGTGGTGGAAACACTGGTGTAGTGTTACCAGCTCCGATTTTTCAAGAGTAGCCAGATTTTGGATGAAATCACTTGATTTTTAAGTGTCGACTATAAATACCAGTTTAAAAGAGTCTGGGGGCCAACACTATGGCGGCTGAAGTCTCTGTGATGGAGGGGCCTGGGGACCCTGAGGGCCCTCCTCTCCTCCAACAGCCCCAGAGAGAGGGCGAGATGCCGTACCTCTCCATAGCCACACCTCTCCAGCATCTCGTCGGACGTGTATCTGGAATGAGGCTCGTAGGAAATGAGGTCGGGGCGCTGTACCTCGTAGATGGACTTAACCTTGGGGAGAGCTGCCAGGTCTTTGTAATTAAGGATCTCATTATCCACTTTAGCCTGAGGAAGAGGGAAATGGACAGGAAAGAAGCAGAAAGATAAGCCGAAAAGGGGAGAGGAAACAAAAGCCAGGCACAGAGGGGTATGAGCTTCTCCATCTAGGATGGAAGACTTGCAGAATGTGAGAATAAGACAGGTCATTCATTCCACCTGGGCTCACACTGACACCACATTGACAGAACATATGTGTGAGGTCCTGTGCTGTATAGGGATGATCTCCTCCAAATGTCAGGATGCCTCTGTGTAGTAAGTGTCAATATTATTCTTATTTTTTAGGACAAAAATTTTTAAAAATTTGTATGGAAAACACAAAAGACCCCAAATAGCCAAAACAATTATGAGAAAGAAAAATGGAGCTGGAGGAATCAGGCGCCCTGACTTCAGATTATATTACAAAGCTATAGTCAGCAAAACAGTATGGCACTGGCACAAAGACAGAAATATAGATCAATGGGACAGGAGAGAAATGCCAGAAATAAACCCACACACCTATGGTCAATTAATCTATTGACAAAGGAGGCGAGAATATACAATGGAGAAAAGACAGTCTCTTCAATGAGTGGTGCTGGGAAAACTGGACACCTACATGTAAAAGAATGAAATTCAAAAGAATCTAAATATACATTTCTCCAAAGAAGACATACAGGTGGCCCGAAAGCACATGAAAAGGTGCTCAACATCACTAATTATCAGAGAAACGTAAATCAAAACTATAATGAGGTATCACCTTGTACCAGTCAGAATGGCCATCATCAAAAAGTCTACAAACAATAAATGCTGGAAAAGGTGTGGAGAAAAGGGAACCCACCTACACTGTTGGTGGGAATGTAAATTGGTACAGCCACTATGGAGAACAGTATGGAGGTTCCTCAGAAAACTAAAAATAGAACTACCATATGATCCAGCAATCCTACTCCTGAGCATATATCTGGAGAAAACCATAATTCGAAAAGATACATGCACCCCAATGTTCACAGCAGCACTATTTACAAGAGCCAAGACATGGAAGCAACCTAAATGTCCATCGACAGAGGAATGGATAAAGAAGACGTGGTACGTATATACAATGGAATTATTACTCAGCCATAAAAAAGAGTGAAATAATGCTATTTGCAGCAACATGGATGGACCTGGAGATTGTCATGCTGGGTGAAGTAAGTCAGACAGAGAAAGACAAATATCATATGATATCACTTATATGTGTAATCTAGAAGGATGATACAGATGAATTTATTTGCAGAATAGAAACGGACTCACAGACTTCGAAAGCAGACTTATGGTTGCCAAGGGGGAAAGGTGGGAGCGGGGAGGAATAGACTGGGAGTTTGGGATTGACATATACACACTACTATACATGGAATGGACAGTCAACAGGGACCTGCTGTATAGCACAGGGAACGCTACTCAATATTCTGTAATAACCTATATGGGAAAAGACTCTGAAAAAGGAAGGATATATGTGTATGTATAGCTAAGTCACTTTAGCTGACTTAGCTACAGTACACCTGTACACCTGAAGCTGACACAACATTGTAAATCAACTATACTCCAACATAAAATAAAAAGTAAATTAAAAAAATATGATTCCTGTTTTCCAGATGAGGAAACTGAGGCTCAAAAGATTCTGCAACTTGTACCACTTAGCCAGTAGGGCTGAATCCAGCCTTCCAAACCCCACACAGTGAGGGCATCTTCATTCACAGCATCCTTGAAGAAGATGATGAAGATTGTAAAGACAGAATTAATCACGGCAGTAAAACACTAGCTAACACTTGATGACCACTTATTGTGAGCCAGACTCCAACCTAAGTCGCTTATATGGTTTAACTCCGTTAATCCATACAACCGCCAACTCTAATAGTACATACTAATATTATCCTCGTTTTTGCAAAAGGAAACAGGCACAGAGAAATCAGTGAACTCTCCCAAGGTCACAGCTAATAAGTAGCTGTACCAGAATTCAAACCCAGGCAGTCTAGCCTGGGAGCCTGCCCCCTCCACTGGCCTCTCCTGGCTTCCCAGGATGGCGAGTTCACCGTCTTAACAACCGGCAGAGGGCTGCACTCAGAGAGCTGCTCCTCGCATCGAACTGAAGCGAGCCTCTACCTACCACCTGCCTTGGCCTGAGTTCAACCCTCTAGAACCACAAGGACTTAGACAGCTTCCCCCACTCAGGACAGCTTCTATCTCGTGGCTCCTGAAGCCACGTCCTTTCCACATCTGCATCCTCCAGCCATTCCCTCTGTTTCTGGTCACCCGGTTTCTGCTATGGTCAGTCAGGATCTGTCCCCCAAAACCACTGTGGCTTACAAGGTCCCGAGATAAGGTAGATTAAGAGAGAATCCAAGAAGACTGTATTATCCTATAACGTTCTCCCAGTGTCTGGGGGGCCAGGTAATTCTCAGGGCCAAGACTGCCATAGAGAGAGCAACTTTCATAAAGACCCTGGGACTGCTGATGTTTTAAACACTTCCCAAGGCCCTTCCACTCCTTCATCCCCATCCCATCCTTCTGCTGTCTGGGCACCGTGCTGTTCATTGTCTGCTCACCTGAGACCCACTGCCCACTCCTCCTGGCCCTGGTCTGAGCTCTGAGGTCCCACGGACTGTGTCACAGGCTCCCTGGCTTTCAGCTGGGTTTGGCTAATGAGGGGCACCTGCAGGCTGAGGCTGAGTGGAGAGCGGGGCTGTGTACATGTCTCCCTTGCACCCGCCCTGCCCGGCCGTGATGGACTTGGCTCCTGTCCCGGCTGCTCTGCCACAGATGCAGCTCTGGCCAGCCCTTCCCTTTAGGCTTAGGGTGGTGACAGCCTCCTGTTGTTGCTGACTCTGGATGCTGCACTAGGTCTTGTGGGTCCCCTGACCCTGCCCACAATTCTGTACACACTCCCTCCACACTTAAACCCTTTGAGGTGTGCCATCTCATTTCTGCCAGAGACTGCCCAGGCCAGACACCCACAACTGTACCAATTTGGTGGGGTGTGGGTAGAGGGAACCTTAATAGGAGAGTCCACTTGCTGAATTAACTGCTGCCTTTTATCATGGGATGTTAGATTTTGACCTTGAGAGCTCTTGGCATCTTACAAACTTGTCAATATTTATCTGGGCACTTTACTCCAAACCTCAAAAATACTAAATTTATATTTCTTCCTATACTTCCTTGTTTACTGGGTTATAAATGAGCCTTAGGTCTGGAGGCACAGTGATGGAACAGAGGCATCCTAACATAATTATCCAGGAAGGAAGGAAGAGAACACATGGGGCTGGAGATGATTCTAGCAGTCAGTGGGGAGTGGAGCAAAGTTTGAAAGAACTTGCCTCCTCCAGGTTCACTGATCATTCTATTTTAATACCAAACCTCCATATTTATGAACACTGAACCAATACTGGATCTCTCTGCCTGTTACTAAATGTCCCAAAAGTGGTTGGATGGATTCTTCCCTGAATTTGGAAACCATGTGTGGAATGGTCTGACTTAAAACATGGCTCACATGACAAGGGCAGTCATTCCCCAGAGAAGCTGGAGGTGAGAGCAGGAGAATACGGGAGGGGAGACACAGGCCAATGCTGGGATATGCCAGGGGTAACTGGTCTCCGTGGATAAGCCCCCATTTGAAGGGCACAATGGCAGGTGTCTCCAGCTGCTGCTGTTCATCTGTAGAGGGGCTGCTTCTCACAGGGGCAACTCTACGAGCTTCCTCCAGAATGCCAGGGTGAACGTCATCTGGGCCTAACTCAATTCACAAAATTTAAGGCGGCTTCCCAGAAGCCCAGGGAGGCCAGCTAGGGGGTAGTGGCATTCTATGCAGCTGTGTGTGTCTGGTAACGCTCTTCTGGAGACATGCTCACGTTTGTCAGTAATCTTCTCACCCTGTAGGCCCTGAAACTGAGCTCATTAATCCTACTGTGGTCTGGCCCCATTCACAGCACCAGGGGAGCTATCATCTCTCTTGTTCTGGACTGGAATCTTCAATGAGGACAGCCTGTGATCAAAGTCTCTTATCTTTTGTGGGAGCCACATGGCCGTGCTGACCCATATTGAAGTTGCAGTCAATGATAACTCTTACGTCTTTTTTTCATTTGAACAGAGGAAGAAAGGAAAGGAAATAGTCTCATCGATGGGCATTATCCAGGGATCGAGGACGAAACTGAATGTGGATCTGGAGTGAAATAATGATGAAGCAATGGTGGGCAGGGCCTACTCAGGGCTGGCTTGTTTGGGGACTGTCTCTAGAGCTTCTCATGAGGAGTGGGTTTCCTGCTCTGGACCACTTCCCTCCTTTCTGGTCTTCATGGCCCTTTGACATGAGAAAGGCTGCAAGAGGTGTGCTGACTGCCAGGCCCCTCCCCTGCTCACTGCAGTCCTCTCCGGCTCTGCGTTCCTCACCTCCGTTACCTAACTTCTGTTTATCTCTCGGGCGTGGGCTTAACTGTTTCTTCCTCAGGACTCTTCTCCCAACTGGTCCTAGACTGTCAGGTCCCTCTGTCCATCTGCAGCATCATCAGAGCACCCTGCACTTTTTCTCCCTAGCACTTATTAGAATGGCATCTGATTATCCATGGACTTATGGGGTCAACGTCATGAGGACAGGCAGGTGCAGCGCGCCAGAGCCCAGCACTTAGCCCAGAGGAGACATTCAAGGATGCATTTGCTTAATGAATGAATGAATGAATAAATTACATATCCAAGGGACCTGTGAGGTCATCTGACTCAACTCTTGTCTGTTCTGCCACATCCCTGTAAATGAGGAGTGTCTCTGTGTTTCAATGCCTCTGGGGCTGGGAACTCAGACACATGCGCGTAGTTTGCTCCATCCCTGGACTTCTCACACGACTAGAAAGCTCTTCTTTATATTTGCAAACCCTTTATAGTCATGTTTCCACATTCATATGGCTTCTTCCTCCTGTCTGCCTCTTTATCACACGCCACTATCTCCACATCAACATCCCCCCCAAGACCCACTCCAAACACCACTCTGACCCAAATTTCACTTTGCCCTGGTCTCAAGGACTCAGGGGGAAGAGGCACATCATATTGGTTTCAGAGCTTCTACTGAACTTGATGTTATCCCTGTAACTATTTACAAGGCTGTGGGTTCTGTGAGGGTCCGTGTCTTCCCTGTCCCCGACTGCATCCTCAGGACCTAGCACGGAGTCTAGCACATGACAGGCACACACTAGACATCGGCTGGATGGAAACCTGACTGCTGTCTTTGGCTGTCCTTAGAGACTCTTTAATTAACAGGCCTGGGGATGAGCAAGGCTGTTCGGTGGCTGAAAACTGATACGTACGCAGATGACTCGGTTGGGTGACCCGATGCTAGATCCAGGGGGTGAGATGGAAGTTTCAGACGTCCGCCTATGCTGTGGGAGAGATGAAGACAGAGGGTGAGAGACGGCATCTCCAACCTTGTGGGGAGCGGGGAGATGGGGCTATAAGAACGCAGTTCTTCAGGGAACATTAGCAATACTGCTAAAAGCACTCTCTGGCTGTTTCTGTACTGTCTCTTTATTTTCTGCCTTTTTAATCAATGTCTGATTGTGAATGAAATTGGAAATGCACAGGACTTTACGCTGTTGAACAGGATTTTTTTTAAACATTTTTAATTGGCCTTTTAGATAGGAAGCTACTCATAAAACTTCATTTTGGCTTATCCCAGTCAATAATGTATTTACTTTAAATGAATAAAACTGGTTAGCATCATTCCTTAGCAGTTTGTTTATACAAAACATAAAGGTAGGTTAAACGTCATGTAATTGCACAACATACTGATTCTTTTTATAGTGTATCCATTGCAAAATGACATCAACCTAAGTGAGAAACTTAAAAAATCTTTCTCTGGACAATGGCAATGATGATGGCTCCTTTAACAGAACAGCACAAAGTTTATCTTGCTGCATCTAAGAGCATGACGTGGTTAAAAAGTAAACAGATTGGAAATCAAGGACCACTGGTAAACTATGCGATTTTAGGGAGCCTGAATTCCTGATCTGTGAAATGCAGGGGCTGGTCTCAAGGACTGCTACATTCCCTTCCACACCTCTCATCCTGCAACTTAAAGCATTCTAAGTTGGAATATATAGCACTGTTTCCCAAACTGTAGACTGCGAACTAGTGTGGCTCTGGGGAGATGAATTTTGGCAGAAAATTTGACAATACTGCGTCACAGAGCGAGAGAATAAAATGTAAAATTCTATTTCAGTCCTCTTGGTTAGATCAAGGCGGAAGTCTTAATTTGGTCCTAATACATTTCAATAACAATTGCTAATTCCACCTTCCACACCTCACCCCCCCTCCTTTTTTTTTAAATAAAGAGAGTTCAGGTAACATGATTTAGCTAGAATTTCTAAGAGTTATTGTTACGAAATATTTCATTTTCAATGAATTAATTTAGGGTTAACCTTCTATTTATAAAAAATAATACGGGTTTTCCACTGGGTGATATAAAGTTTTATTTTAAAATAAGTTTGATGAAGTAAAAAGTAGTGAGTTGATGTAAAGAAAAAAATGAAGCATATAATAATACGGGTGATACACAGATACAGCAAAAAGCATCGGGGCTGTAGAGGGATAACTGAAATTTGAGAAATGCCAACGAAGAGAAGGAAACTGTGGAAGAAAAGGACAATAAGGTTTTCTTAGACCTTAAAAGGGAGAGGCCTTGGAAGAAACAGGGGAACTCACAGCTCAAAAAAAATATGCATCAATAGACCAGCTCTTTCACAAATGAAACAGATGAGATGGCAAAGGGGATAATGTTTAACCAGCTGGTCAGAAACTGTACACATGTGTTTTTAGTTGAGATTCTAGCAGGTAACTTTAATAGCGTCCCAAGGGCCAAGTTGATATCTGGGGGCCAGAGTGTAGAGACACCCCAACACACAACCCAGGTCTCCCCTCCATACCATCAAAGACTCAGGAGCTGTGCCCCACCCCTCTTGCAGTCCTTGGATCAAGAACCCAGATTCACAGGACTTCCTAGTACTTATCAGAGCACAGTCATTCAGACGGACACAAGACCTCAGCTGCTCTAGCATGTGCCTGGGGACGCTGGCTGTGCTTCTGCCCGGCTGCATTACTGTGGGCAAGTCACCACCCTCTTTAAGGCCTTGGTTTTCTCACAAGCAAAGCAAAGACACAATTCCTAACCCACCTGCCCAATGGTGTTAAATCAAATCAGACGGTGGCTGTGAAGATGCCTTGCAAACTGTCAATTTCTGTGACAATTTTAACCACTGTTATTAATGACCTTCGGCTCGGGAAAAACCATGGCCTATGTGCCTCAGAGAGGTCACCATCTTGGTAAGTAATGGGAAGGGTATAGCCTCACCCCAGAAACACTAAAAACTCACATTCACACAGCGCTTTACCGTTTTCAAAGTGCTCTCACATCCAACGTCTTAATCCCTTCAAAAACCCCATGAGGTGGATGTTACTATTAAGGAAATCCAAGGATACAGGCACACATTTGAAAGTGTACACACTAAGGAGTGACTCTCTAGTGAAGCACAGTGCCCCCAGCCTGTGGCTAGAAGTAGCTGGTTTGGTATCGCCACCAGCTTGCTTACCTTTAACTTCTTATCTGCCCGGGCTGCCTGTTTGCAGATGGGGTGCCAAACCTCGGAGCCTAAGGGGCCAGGAAAATAACAAAGCCTCAGATCTTTCACATCTACTAGAATTTGGGGTCTCTCCCCAACCTCCACCTCCATTTACTCCCCTGCACAGCAGCCAGGAGGACCCCCTGGTTTTCAGATCTCTGCCACCACATCGATTCAACCACCCATGCACTCTGCCTGTACAAACCCTGCCCTTCCTCGAGGTCCACATCTCACATGACATCTTGTGACCCTTCTTACCTGCCAGCTGGGAGTGACTTCTCTCTCCTCTATGATCCATCGTTCTTCGTATCATTCCCAGCACATATGGCCTTAACACATAGTAGCTTGTGGATTTATCACTCCCAGTAAATTAAGAGCTCCTTCTGGGTGGGAGCTGAGCTTTCTTCATTGCTGGGTCTCCCATGGCATCCAGCATGGGGCTTTGCTCCCAGCAGAGGCCCCGTACATGTTTGTGGGGTGATTACATGAGTGGACGATCGGCAGTGAGTGACACAGAGCAGGTGGTCGATAAATATTTGTTGAACGAATGAATGGCAGTGGAGGTGAAATAAAGGGACAGACTGTGGTGAACTCCAGCCTTCCTTTCTCTTCAAAGACTTATGACAGTCTACCAGAGCTATCACATTTAAGGGAAGGGGGTGTCATGATGTATATATTCTGCTTGAGAGCACTATCCTGACCTGCTAATTTCTAAGAGACTCCAGACTCTTCAAACTTAGCATAGTCGGCTGCCCACATTCTATTGTGGATGGGGGTCCAGTTGGCCAGCCCCAAATCGGAGAGGCCAATTTGGAAAGGCATGAGCAACAGGTGGCTGGTCATGTGCTGAGAAGAAGCCCCAAATATTACACATTCCCCAAAGAAAGGACAGGTGTCCTGGATTAGAGGGAAAAATAGGAACATATTATCCCTCTGGTGCCACTGCTCTTGTAATCGACCCTAAAAGGAAAGGAGCCAGCAAATGGCTAGATTCCTGAGCACCCAGATGGCATTTGTTTGTCTGACTTCATTTTTAGAATATCTTTTCCATTATGGTTTGTTGCCTGGAACCCCTAGGACTGGATACTGGCTAAGTGACAGGGGGGTGGTGTAAGGTTGAACAATGAGGCCTAAAAACATGGTGGTGAGAGGAGGGGCCCAAAGTAAGGAGCCCTGCTGGGGCTCTGCTCCGTCCCACTTGCTTCATCTGAATAACAATGAGGTGGGCTTTGGATGGTCTTGGAGATTAAAAATTCTAATTCTAGGGCCAGTTTTAAAAATTCTAATTCTAGGGCCAGTTTTGTCACTTGTGGGATGGGGCTCTCTGATTCTTCTTTGCTGATGTTCTTGGGTGTTCCTAATTGGCTCTGTATGAGATTACTTTCTTCTAATGTAAAGTGCAATGGCTCTCAAAGCCCAGTAGAGGGACTCTGGGTCTGCAGCTTGATCCGGCAATCTTAGGGTGTGTCCACTACCAAGTGGTGGGGTTGGGGTCGTAGCTTCGGGAATTATTAGGGAGAGCATTTCTGGTCCTCTCCGAGTTGCTGCTGAATCCACCAGAAGTTGTTTATTGCAGTGGCTCTGGCAGGAAGCACATGTTACAGGTCACTGTAGGAAATGGATGAAGTGGACACATGCCTCAGAAGGTTGTGAGATTAAGTGAAAGAGGCACAGGCAAGGTAAAAGGTCAGACAGAGGTTCTCAGAGGGGGAAACGGTGTGTAAAGCGAGGGCATCAGACTAGATCGTCTCTCCATGCCACTGACGTATCTGTTCTGAAATAAGGCTGAACCACAGATGGCTTCAGCATTCTGCATACAGGAAAGCAGGTTTTTATAAGAAGTGTGTGTGGGGGGTGGATGGGTGGGGGAGGGATCAAAAGGGAGAAAGAAACTATAATTAGAAATTTTAAAAAATCAGAAGTTTGGGTTTTGGCAGTGTATCATTTAAATTAAAGAGGGAAAGGATCTGTTGGAGGTTAGCAATAAACTTAGATAAATGAAGGTAAGAAAAGATGATTTGTTCATGAAGACCCCTGTAAGATTAGGGTCTGCATATGTCATCAGTCAATAGCTCTCATCCTAAAAGACTACCTGATTCAGAAATGAATGAGTGACTGGTTGGGTCCCATCTTTGTATTTTAGAAAAAGAGACAGACTGATATGCACCCACAGGACAATGGTAATCAGGATGGAGAGGCGACTCAAAATTAGGCCTTAAGGCAGGGTCTTCTCCATGGAGAAGAGAAGATATAACAGAATGGGGAAAAGGGTTTTTGAATAGTTTAATGCCTCTGTGGGAAGAGAGATTAACTTGCTCATCATGTCTTATAAGGCAGAACAAGGATTAAGGGCAGGGGAGTGGGAAGTACAAAGTATTGGGTGCACTTTTTGCTTGTTAGACTCCTGATTCCACGAGTTACACGCTCATCCTCTGAGACTATCACCCACAATTCCAGGTTCTGCAGTTAAAACCTCCTGTAAATGTGATGGAAGTGAAGGATTAGCTATTTCTGTATCAGTTGACTCAGAGATAGAAACCTAGATCTCCAAAACTGTCCCTCAGCCAGGCATTAAGGCTGTTTTTAATCCTTAGCGGAGTCAGCATTCAGCCTTCTCTCTCTGACTGGTTACAGCACACCCCATACCTGTAACACTGTGGATTATTTAAGGTTTGGGAACCCACCCACCTCTCTGCCAGGCCTGTAAATTCAATTTGCTAACACCTCTTTTTTTTTTTTTTTTTT